GGGGGGAAGCGCCGTCCCTGGAGCAGCTCCCGCAGAGCAACACGCTGGTGGGGCTGCCCATTGTGGCCATCGAGAGCATCCGCAGCTTCCTCTCCTACGACGAGACCAGCCAGCTCCGTTTGGTGAGGGGCCGAGTTGGGGTGGGAGCGAAGGGGGGTAGCGAAGAGGAGAGACTCGGTCTTGGCTGGGTGGGGATTTGGGGACCCATCGAGACGTAGGCAAGCGTCTTCTGTCTCCCACCTTCCCGACCGCTTCTGCGGATTGCAGATATTCCTCTTGGGCAAAACCGAATCGAAGTGTAAATCTTCCTTTCCCCTAAACTCCAGGATTAGCTTCTTGGCTGTTTTATTGATTGGAAATGGCCTGGGGTCAGTACAAGACGGGAAAAGGCCAGTGTGGCCGAAGTTGGAGTCAGAGTGGATGACCTCTGGGGCCTCTTTCCTTGAAGCATTGCTTGGAGTGAAAAGGTCTACTCTTTAGGAGAACAGATCCCCGATTTGAGGATCCCGTGATGTAACAGCTTTGTGACAGAAAGGAACCCCTCAAGTTCTCCATCTTATTTGGGTTCCCGTGGTGCTGGCATCCACCCACTTCTTATATTTTGACTTGCTTTAAAGTGCTTCTTTTTCAGATCTTTATAGCAGTTTCCACAACTGCTTCTCTGTGTCTCATGGATTAGATTTTCTCATGCAGAGTTCATTTTCTCTATGCTGCCTAGAGGCAGTGTGTGGATAATATATATTTGGGGCCTATATGTATAATTAGGGGGGGGGGGGAGGTAATGCTTTTTAAGTGATAAGCATACCCTTTAACATTATAGCCATTGGAAACGTATGGTAAAGAGCCATATGCTGAAGAACTCAAATTAGTCCAGATATAGAAAATTTAAGGGATTAATGGAAAGGGGGAGAAATGTGTGGAAAACTAGGGATGTCTTTATTGCATCTTTTAAAGCATTTTGGTGCAGGAACAAGAATTAAGGTTAAATACAATCAGCTTGAATATAATTAAGTAGGAACATAATATTCTGAATAGTCATATCCTTAAATTATTGTGTTTGCAGGGCTTTATTATACATTCCTTTATCTAGCCTTATTGAGTATTAGCAGAATGTATTATTTTTTAATACAGTAGTAAAAAAAATAGCACTGGTGAAAATGATTGTAGCTTGCTCTCCCTGTAAATATTTCCTGAAAATTTTTGGAATCAGATAACTTATCTAACTTAGGATGGTCCTAACAGCTTTCCAGGCATTTGGGGCTGCAACCTCCATCATCCTGTAGAATGCTGGCTGGGGCTGATGGAGGTTATTGTCTAAACCCTGCAGGCCTCTATATGAGGAAGGCTCTAGAGACAGTTGCCATATCTTTGTATGCACCAACACATGCAGAAATTCCAGAACCATTTTTTCTTGATATTACTGTGGAGAATATGGTTTGGTTTTAGCAACAAAAATACCAACAGTTTAATCCTATGTACAGTATATTTTAAAAGTCAGATATACAGACAGATCAGTGCTGGCTTATCAGGGAGTAATCAATATTGCCTTACCTGGAATTGCATGGCAAGATACTTTTATATGGAGAATCACATAGTTGAGTTTTAAAAATAAATTATTTTTGCTTCTGCTAAGATTATTCAGCATTTTGTGGCAGTTTTTTAAATTAGCCACAGAATTTTGTCTGTTTTGTTAGAACACCATGGCATGTGCTCAGAAGAATAAGGAGTTAACTAGTTTTAGAGCTGAGAAAATTTATCCAATTATAAACTCCATTTCCACCTTGCAGTTTTCATTGTCTCCTACCTCTGCATCAAGCAGACTGCAGCTCTTTAAAAATAGATACATGTTTAGATATCTTAGGAACCTCACAAAATGTCTCCTGGTTAGAACAATGGGTTATAAAAGAAAATGTGCAGCATTGCTTTTGTGTCGCATCCCTTTGATCAGAACTGAAGTCCAGACTTATTGCAGTCCAGTCTTATGCATTTTTCACTCAGAAACAAGTTTAACTGCATTCATTGGGATTTCCTTTCAGGTAATTGAGTTTAGGACTGCAGACTTGATGTTGTTAGAATTGATATAGCTCGATGCTCTGAATCCTTGCCTTGAAAAAACTGTGACAAAGCATTATTGTGTTCCATTGATCATTATGATGTTTAAAATTAGTGTGTGTACACAGTGAAAGCATTAGAAGAAAGTTACATTGGGCCTCTAGTTGATTGTAAAATAAACAGTAAACCCTTTTGATCAGCTAACGTAAGTACTGATGTACTGCAGGCATCAAACAGATGTAGCTAAGCAACCAAACACACTCAACCTATTTTCACTGTGTCTAGCAATTTGCATGAAAATTCTGAGTTAGTTTTTTTCCAGCTTCAGTATATGGAAGAGAAAGTAATCATATACAGTAATAATTTGGCATGATATACCTTTAATGCAGTACAAGACATCATTGTATATAATATGTGAAATACACTTTCACAGTAGGCCATAATTTGATTCATGATAACAGTGGATGGAACTATAATTTGCTCTAAGCCTTACTGTGACTTGTTGGATTTTGGCTAAGAGTGTGTGTGAACTCAGCTTTGTGGTTTGTAAATCATGATTTATGGTTTAGTATGTACAAACAGCCATTACAATATAGCCAACAAAGCATGATTAAAATCATAGTTTAGTGTATTTATTTTACTGGTGTATCTGAACCTGGCTAATATCTTGTCTAGAAGATATTGAGATAAATTATTTTGGAATCCCATCTTCTATCAAACTTTAAAACAAATATTGAATAAAGATGTTTAAAATTTTATATATCTCCTTAAGAATACAGATATCCTTGAGATGCTCTCAAAAAGTTTTTTTTCTTTTCTAACATTTGCTCATGTATAATTGGTTTTTTTTTCAATTTCAATGTTGATATACTGCTTAAATGAAAACTAAACATTGAAAGTTTATATTATCATTAAAGCTGTATATTGTACCTGTATGGTGTTTCTTCAAATAGTTGTAGAGAGCCATAGACTAGCAAGTAGTCATGCAAACAAGGAAAAAGAAAAATCTAGGTTACTATGTAATTATCCAATTTTATAAATATTTCTCCTTATAATATGACTCTGCAGTTTGTAAACCATGTTTTATAATTTGTATACTCTGTAAAGCAGCCAATCATGGTTTATTCAGCAAACCATGATTAAGCAAATGATGGCTTAGCATAATGAGAGGAGTGTATTTTTTAACATGCTTTGTTAATTGCAGTCTTTTGTTTTACTCTTAATAATTGTTTGCTGAGCTCCACTGACATATGTAACAGGTAATAGGTTATAACAACCTTCCATTTCTAAAGTTTTTTTTTTTAAGTCCCAGATATTACTAGAAGTTTCCAGAAGTAGCTGGCCTAAAGCAGTTCTTGTATATGTTTCTTTGTTATGATAGCCTTGACTACTGGGAAACACAGGCCCAGACTTAGAACAATACGCTGTAAGTTCTTGGGTATGAAAATGGACATGATTTTGATTTATCTTTTTTTTTTTTTTTGGCAACAAAAGTTGTACAACCCTGACTGACTGTAGGAATAGAAGAGGAGGATCACTTCCTTAGCTTTTCTGAGGAAAGGCAGAATATAAACATGTAAAATGAATACATTATTGGAATGTTGTCTGACTTAAGTAAGAACTTAAGTAAAACATAACAGAGAGTAATTCCAGATACCATAATCTCATTAGCCTCAATAGTTTCAGTGAGAACATGGACGCAAACAGAATTACTATCTACCACATGAATTCAATATTGGGCATAAAGTTTCTGAATGGTCATGAGAAAATAGTAATGCACATAGTGTTGCAATAGCTATTGATTGTTATATCCCTTACTTTAATAATTATACTCGATGATTAAGAATGAACTTAATCTTACCAAATGTCTAGGAAAGATTGGTTGCCTTAAATTGATGTCCATGTATTTCAATTCTCTAAGTAACAGGGTCTGCTAAATATTGAAAGGTAAAATATCCCTCCTCCCACTGCCATTTCAGCATTGGTCTAAGCCCTTGGAAATCAAATCTTTATCTAGAAAGGACTAGAATAATGAATATTCTGAAGTTATTGTTTTTTAAACTGTGTATTTGGGGCAGGGAGGTATTTCTATGACAGTGTTTGACATCTCATTTTTAAAGTATCAAGTTTTTTTTTTATTATTTACTGCTTGGGAAATTAGCTAAAAGGAGCCACTTAGGCCAGTGAGTCTAGCCATTGAGTGCTGGTATTCCGATTAAAGCATCCCAAACCGAAGACTGTCTAGCTTCCATTTAGATACATCCAGTGAAGGGCAACCTAACATCTCTCTGAGAAATTGATAATTGGTTCCACGGTTGAATTGCTGTTAATATTCCTATTTTTTTCCAACTTGGAATTAGAATCCCCTTTGTGGTAATATGTATTTTGCCAGTGGGATATATTAAGAATTAATGTCACAATATTACTAATTAATGTAGTAGAAACTGAATAGTTATGGAAGATGATTTTGGAAGGTCTGTCTCAAGATGGTGGCAGCACTCTTTATCTACAACTTGGATTATTAACCTGAAACTAATAAAGCCATTGGAGAGCCAGTTTGGTATAGTGGTTAAGGTATCAGGGTAGAAACCAGGAGACTGTGAGATCTAATCCTGCCTTAGGCACAAATCTGGCTGAGTGACCTTGGGTCAACCACACTCTCTCAGCCCTAGGAAGGGGGCAATGACAAACCACTTCTGAAAAATCTTGCCAAGAAAACTGTAAAAAAAGCTATTAGATATTATACAAAAAACTAAGGAGGAAAACTTTCCTGGAAATTACAATATTAT